AAGCCTAAAGACCTCCCACAATATAATACACTGTTTTAAATGAGTATAAAATATTTAAACAGGTTCACTGTTAAATTCACATATATACTGGGGATGGGGAGGGAGGACAAGAAACAAGCTACCACCTGTAATTCAACAGTGATTGCACAGTGATAACGTAAAGATAACTGCCTTGGTCTATGACACACCAACATTAAACCCTGCTTTATTGAGAGAAGAGTCAGTGACCCTTAACTTCTACCTGAAGACTTTCTCATCAATGGTTTCGGTTTGAAATAACCATTCTTGCCAAAGAACAATTTTCTTCTTAATGTACAATCTTCACACCACTCCTCTAGAAGATCCCCTCATCACAGACTGCACCTGCAAGGCGTTAATCAGCCAGTGGAAGGGTTCAAGCCACCATGGCTTGGCTTCTATCCTCCACTTTGCTACCAATTGTCTCTATGGTCTTTGGTAAATACAGTTTCACTGCAAAGGTTTAGGCACCTACAAAAATTGGGAGATATATCTGTATATCTCATATATTAAGCTTTATCACCCTAAAGAGGTAACTGGAAGTTTAATGTTCAGAGGAAAGGAAATGTGCCATTGATTTCAAAGATTTCCAAAACAAAATATAGAACTGACTGATGAATCTTAGTTGTTCACAGATCACTAATTGTTTAAAATTAAGTTTCAACATTTTGCCAGAAAGTTTTCTTTCATTTCTAGCATTAAAATGACTTTATTATTTCTATTACTAAATATTTCCTGTGCACTCTGCAGATAAGCAGATCTGTTTCATATACACAAATGCATTAGTATTAAAGTTCGGACTATTTCACACAGAAGAAGATAAAAAACCACAAGCACCAATAAACAAAGATTACATGTAGTAGCAGCAAGTTTTTGTCATTAGCAAACTTACTCATATCAACAACTTGCAATATTAAAAATATCCTACATGGGCCACTTTTCAGGAGTCTGTATTATATGAACCAACATTACTACCAATGCAGAGTACTTTGTCTACAAAAATGGTAATCCTTATTTTACAAAAATCTTAACCTCAGACAATTTGAAGGATCAAATCTAATGCATGTATAGCTGGGATTTACAAGTGCGTCATTTTGTAATTTCTCTTTGAAGATGATTCTTACCCATCTTAAGTTGCCAAGTTTCACATATTTCACATCTTAAGAACTCAGTTTGGCTGAAAAAAAAGAATGAAGTAATGCTCTGTGCACTCAAAAGGATTAAAATTTGGTATGACTAAAGTGAACAGTAGCTAACAATCTTCTAAACCATTTCACACTGAAAAGTTCGTCTGACTTCATAAAAATGAACATGTATGCAAAATCTATTGCTGAGGCCCATACAGAAGTACTGCAGAATTGGAGTTCTTCAACATATCACAGCATAGGCCTCTGCAACTTTCCAAAAGATACGACTTGCATAAAATAATCCGAGTGCTCTGAATAAATTAGTTTGATATATCACTAAAGACAAGTAATAACTCAGCCCTAGAAGTGATCAGCATCAGTAAAAGACAGATGTACAAAGAAGTCATGTGTTATTTAATTTCTACTCCTCTCATAATTTCCCAGTTTCACAATTCTTATAGCATCAGCAACCAAGACATTAAAACTGTCATCATGTGTGTAGGAAATTCTCTGTTCTCCAAACTAAGAGATTCTGCTTTGATGTACAATTCTTTATACATGCCAACTAGGTTTGAACTAAGAGGCACTTCAAATCAAGCTATGTCTGTAAGGTTATACAATTCAGGAGCTCAGAAACCCAGTAAGAATTCCTTAGGTCAGGAGAAAAGAAAAAGGGCTGGGGACTCATTTTGACATCTATGCCCAGCACATGCTCTGAATTATTTTATTTTTTACATAGAAAACATTATATTACCATGTAGAAGTCATGGTCAGGATTAGAGCTGTTCACTGAGCACAACGCAAAACAAGGCTAACAACTCTCAAGAACTGGGTGGTCCAGGAAAGAGCAGAAGGCTCAGTAATGCTCTGCTCAGTGGTAGACTATTGGCAAATGACAACTGCTTGGAAACTGGAGCATAACTCCCTAAGAAGAAAGGGGAAAGAAAAAAAATAAGACAGCTAAGGCAATGGTAGAACCTCAGTGATCTTCTTGTCATACACAGAGACCTGCTGCTGGTCAGCGGACACATCACAGCTCAGGCCACAGCTATGCAATTGCCAAGTGAGTGTGCACTTCTTATTTCTGAGGAAAAGGCAAGAAGCTTAAAAAAATCCCCATAAAAAACAGCAGCAACAAAAAAACCACTCAAAACCTCCCCCTCAATAGATTATTTCTTCAACATAGGAAACTTTCACCTGTCAAAATTCTGCATCATTTAAGGATTTTTTTATATTCCAGATAAACAGCTTCTTTTACTTTGGGAGAATCTCAAGAAATGTTTTTCAGCAATCCAAAGAAAGATAGGGGGAACAACATTGTAAAGAGTAAGAGATCACAAACAACTTTTTGACAGTTAAGTTGCCAAAAATCAAATCAGGAAAATGTGAATCATTATTGCTTAAGAGGAAATGCTAAACATAATATCGACAACAAGTTCTTACAGTACATTTTTAGCTGCTGAATGAGTTCTACAAATACTCAAGCAAACTGATTATTTATGTCAACAAAAGAGTTATTCTTTCTAGAATTTACAGTCACTGTACTGACTACTTTTACTATTAACTTCGCAAGTCTCCTGAGAGTCTTTAGCTTCACAAATCTAACTTCGTACTGTGTTTTAGCCATGCTCTATGCAATTTTTAAAAAAGTATTTCTGGTTAAAGTAAATCTCCTTCTACTACCACAAAGAAAAAGAAAATATTTGTATGTACTCCAGAAGAACTCACCCAAAATAATTTTCATCATATCCAAAGAGAAAGCATTTCCATATATAATCATTTTTTAATCTCATGTTTTATAGTGCAAATGTCTTCAAAATGGAAAGTAATTTGTGTTTTTACCACAGGAGATAATGTATACCAAATATTGTCCTTTGATTTCCTCTGCTGAGATCCACTACATAGAGTGAGCAATATGCGACAAATCATAATTTAGTTTATTACCAAGCATGTAATGCTACAAGTGTTCAGCAGTCTGATCACAGGATTTTACATCCAAGGTTATTTACTTTTCTGGTGCTCTTCTGTACAATCAGACTTCTGACATGGTAATGTATATTTATATAATAAATCAGTAGGGCTTCATTTAATTACAAATACACTCCTACACCCTCAACAGAATCAAGTACTGTATGAAGTGCTATTGCAGTTGTATAACAGCTACATATTCTGAAATATATAATAAAGACTCAAATGGGACTATCACCTACCACGCAACACATTTTTAAAGACTTCAACAAAACGAGCTGACATTTTATGCTTACATTTTAAATTGAAGAAATCCGGATGCATTTAAGACAACCTTTTTGACCACTGGGTGCCACTCTTGTTCTGTGTAAAATAAACTGCCTGGCGCTAACTCATACGTTCTCAGTCTCTTTTTTTTTCCCCAGCTTTAATCAACACTGATTCTTCTAAAGTGGGAGGAAAAGATGCAAGAATTTTCACAAAAGTTTCTGTAAAACATTTAGTACTTTCCAAAACCCTTCACTATTGCTTCTAGCCCCAAGAATGCAATTTTAGGGCAAGTCTAGTGCACAAAGACCCTTATGGTATATGAAGGGGTTTTTTTTTGTGGTGAAGTTATGTAATAACCTAGTTATGTTATGTCTAAATCCTTACATTCAAAGCAATAGATATCTACTGCAACTGTGCAGCCCGCAAGCCCTGTATTGCCATTGCTGCTCACAGCTTCATATTAAGTTTGGAAGCCTCAAGACTGAGGCTTTGAGAAAGCTTGTTAGACTTGCTCTGAACTTTTCTTGACCTGCCTGAAAATGTCTTTTTGAAACTGGTGCATGTTTAACAGCAATTTTTCTCACTGACCAGGTGTCTATAGCAAACTTGGTTTATTTTTGTTCATCTTTGTATGGTACAACCACAGTTTTACATAGAAAGCAGTAACAAGGAGCTATTCTACGTAGAATATTTAAGAATATTAAGAATATTAATCTATGAAAATTCTTAAGACTAATACCATGATCAGCATATAGAAACACAGGCCTAGTATAATAGCAGACACCTCGAGAAGTGGAAACACAGGTTGTGGCATATATAAGTACAGTCTAGATTTTTATATTAGACTGTTACTATTTAATTTATATGAACAACTAATTCTTGTCTGAATATTTAAGGAAAGTTTCATCCTTATCCATAAATTTTGAGTGTAACACTATCTCATGCATTTTATTTATCATCAAATAATCCCATATCAAACATAACTGCGGGCATATGTATGTTACAGCCCTACTGTTTAACACTATTCTTTACATTTCATAGGTGGGAACCTGAGGTACAGACTAAGTGCTCACAGAAACAAATACAATGTATGACGGAAACACAAACTCATCAGTCCAGCTGAGAAAACAGGGAGGTCAGAACAAGGCTATGGTGAACTTCATAATCCCATTATCCACCCTAGCAATCTTTAAAACGACATAGGTATCTTTCCACTGAATTGCGCCCTCAAGGTACTGCAGTCACAGAAGCACGTATTAGACCACAGAAATCTCCAAAGTGCAAAAAGTGTGACTGACCAGGGAGATTAACTAAAATACTTACAGTCTCAGGCTAACATCCTAAACATGCTATTATTATACCTTCTATCCTTACCAAACAAATACTAAAATACAGACTTTCATGTCCTACCATTTATTTAATTTCTATTTCTAATAATACAGCTAGAAACCACGTTTCCACTATGTCCATTCTCAGATGTCTTTTCTTCAACAGATGTCCTTTCCCCGCATCCTTGTCACTTCATCACTCTGCTGTACAAACTGTTTGATAACAAAGAAAAAGGCTCTAAATAGTCCCATCCTATGCATGGCACTACTGTAAATTCTTACACAATACCTGTACTCAGGTTGCCGACTTATAGGATGATCATCCCTTGGCCATCTGTATCCCGATTCATCCTGCAAAACAGACATGCAGAACAATTCTGTGACGTGTATCTCAACATCACGTGTGAGGTACACTTAGTTGGCAAATGGTACTTATTTACTGCAAAACCAAAACATTTAATGAGCTAAAAATAAAGTATTAATCATCCACAGCAAAGTTCCTATCAGTCTATTCACTCTACCTCATATCTCTTTTCTTCCTCTATTAATACTAGAAAGAGCAACTTTGAAATGCTGTACAAAACACAAAAACTACAAAAATTTCCAAATTATATAGAGGGGCCCTGACTTAAAAAAAAATTCCTAATTGAATTGTAAATTATCATCACTAGCTTGAAACTACAGAATTTCAAACAGCTGTGTTGGAAGCAGCAGCAGTAATGACCTTTCAAAGGGACCATACATTTTGTGCTTAAGTATAGCTACTGGGAAAAAATGCATCCATCGTCATGATAGAATTTAAATAAGCAAACAACTGTGTGAATTAGGACAAGTAGACAAAATTCAACTAGCTGCACGTGCAAGGGCTAGAAAGATTTTGCAGTCATTCTTCTGTCCATACAGAGGACTTCTGGCCACTTTTGTTTTCCCAGTTCAGACTCTGAGCTTTCCAGAGCTAGACAAGGGCCCTTTTCTAAGTCAACAGAATAGCTAGGAACCATAGGAAGCAGCAAACAAGTATTAGCATATAATCACAAGGGTTTTAGAAGCACAGTAACTGCAAAAAAGCACAAGTATCAAAACCTAGATATTTTAATATTTATTCTATTTCAGTTTATGAGAACAGCAGTAACAGCAATGTTCTTTCTGAAATAATACTGTAATTGTTCAGTATTCAAGCATTAATAAGAAGATAAACATCACAAACGTGTGAGAAGAATCACCTTACGTACACCTCGGTGTGGAGGGCCACTTCGTCGGTCATGGCCAAAACTGCGGCCCTCGTCATAGTCTCTGTAGTCAGAGTGACCATAGTCATCGTACCGACTGTAATTCCCGTCCCCAGGCCTTTCGAGCAGCGGTGGTTTTTTGGGCACAACATTCACTACTCTATGATAATCATCCTAAACCACAAAACAAACAAAATCATATTGCTTTTAACAGGTGGAAATCTGTAGTGAATACACAAAAGTAAAAAAACCCAAGTAATTTCCAAGTATGAGACCATAATAATCTTAAAGCTGAAACAGCACAGGGGAACAGCAAACATTAAAAATCATGTCAGTGTGATGGTGGAATTACTTATTAAATCTAATTGGACATCATTCAGATACAGTCCTTAGGCATTACAGGTTTAACTATACAAGGAAAACTTTCAACACGGTTTAAGTTTCTTTTGAAGGTTTAAAGCAGTAGCATTAGCTATTTTCGAAACACCAGCAACTTTATTTTTTTAAGCATTAGTTACATATATTTCTCAGAGACTTTAATGTTAACTTAGGAATCCAATACAGGAAGTTACATCTGTAATGCCTGTAAAACAAAGAGACTATTTTCTTAATGTCAATAACATCATCCACACTATAGAGATTATAGCAAAGACAGTCCTTGCTTCATAATCCGAACCAGATACATTCTCAATACAATGCAGCAGGTGATCTGAAGAGTCAGGTGACAGAGACAGTTTTAACACTTTTGGTTTTTCTTTTAACACAAGTTTCAGATAGCTTTTTGCTAGAATGTGAAATTAATTTATTGTATTTCCTTCAAATAAAATGTCATTTACCATTTACCAATTAAAGAAATCCTTTATTAAGTGCAAAATGCACAGTTGCAAAAGATACAAATTCTATTTCCTAGAACCATGTATTACATTAGCCAACTGCAAGTAAAAAGCAAAAGAAAACACGAATGCAAGATATTGTATTTTAAGTTTTCTTCCATTAGTAAGGTATTTTTTCTCTGGGCCTTAAAAACACAAGCTATAAATGTAGACTTGAGTCAGTATGTGCAATTTGGGGGGTGGGGGGACGGAAAATATTCAAATTAGTATTTTTAATAGTAGTAGAACTTAATGCATCAATAGTTTTTGTAGGAAAACACATTAAATTCACAAACTGCTAAAAATTAGCATGCAGAAAAAAGTTAGTTCTGACTTCAGAGACCACCCAACAAATTCACTAGAGGGCAATCCAAAACCAGCTTACAGCCATACCGATGCAAACCAGAGGCTACATACACTTGCATACACTTGCATACACAGCCACGATGCTTGATCTACCTCATTGAGCATCCCCCACATGTATTTTTTTTTTAGTTTGGTGTCTTACAAAGATGTGCTATGAAGCTAAAATAAAACTGCTCTGTGCTTTAACCTCAGCCGGCAGTCCCCATTGCACAACTACACTGACATTCAAAAGGACAGTTACAGGAAAGCTCAAGCTGTACTCACCTACAGTTAATTGTAACAAGTGCTTGCAACTTTATTTTGTTTACCAAGATCTCAAAGTATGTGTTTCTATTTGATATATAACTAGCACTGAGTTTAGATGAGGACAAGTCTCCTGCCCTCTCCAACAAGAGATAATACATTCTGTACCACTGCCATGTCTCAGTTCCAACACACTAACCTACCAGCAAATGCTAAGTGTGTTCATAGATGCAGTAAATTAATTCCACTTTACCTGTCTAGTCAAAACTATGTCAGATCTCCACACATGGACACAGATACAACAGCACAGGCTTACAGAGACAGAAACTGCCTGCCAACTATCTTGAATCAGCAGAGATGTATGAGAAGGAGCTTCCTATCCATCTTTCAGTAAGGCAGAAACACCAGATCTTGGTCTGCCCAGCTACTGCGGGTGTTGTTTTGGTGCAGATGGACAGTACTGATTGTGATAAAATGAGTGCATTCTGCTAGTCCCTTCATCCCCAGTTCCAAACACAGGTAATAAAAAGCTAGCATTGAACTATCCAGGTAACTCTTGCACCAAAATGAATGTTACCACGTTTTAAATTTTAAAGTAAATTTTCATAATGCATATGCCATGATTGTTCCCTGGACAGCTTGAAAGACCAAAAGAATTTAGGAATGACACTGTTGCAACAGTTAAATTAAATTAGCAATGTGTTAGTCAAGTAAAACGTTGATTAAAAAAAAAAAATCTGTGAAAACACATTCTGCCTTTCCTCATGTCCTGTTGCTGATTAATATTTTGGAGAAGCAGCTGACTAAATACCCTGCGCAAACTTATCTGACTTCCAGTTTGCTGAAAATGTAGAAATTTTGTTGTTACCTGTAAAGAGAGTTAAAAATGTCACAGAGCTGAAAAACACTAATGCACTACTCAATAGAGAAGACTACGTAACTAGTTACCAAGCTACCAACGCTAGTACACTTTCAAAACAGCAAGTTGAAAATACGGTAGAGGAAACCCTGAAAATATGCTTAATCAGCTATGTTATTAGTCCAACATTTAAAAGCATTAAAAGAAAAGCCAGATAACAGGCACAGGTACCTGAAATTTTATTTTGCCAGATGTACATTCCACAGCATGAAAGCAGAAATACAGGCAAGTATTCTTAAAGTTCTATTTAAGGCACAATAGCTCGAGAGACAAAGCTACAATGCATTATCTCTCTTCTTTAGAGACTTCAGACATAGGAGGGAAACAAATATAATTTTACCCAACTCTTTGGCACAGAGATTTTCTAAAAGCATTCTAAGTTATTCTACAGCACAGTAAGCATAGCTTCTGTGTTTGCTTTTACAAGCATAACATATAGTAGAAGTTCTCCACGCCTACACAGTAGATTTTCATTGACGCT